TCCAACTTCTGTTATAAAACAGTATATACCCTTGAAAAGGGAGAGTAAAATTCTGACTGTGACCCAGTGTTATGTTGCCCTGCCGTTCAGTAGAAAGTGATAAAAGTAATGCCTCTGAGAACAAACAAACTTCCCTGTTTATCTAAATGGGATGTTAAGAATTAAACCTATTAGTAACATTTAAGTATTTGCCTAATGAACTAGTTAACTTATGACTATTTTAGTCTAAATTTTAGCACTTCTAGAGCTGACAAAAAAATGGATTCTTAGGTAGAACTTGTTTCTTCTCTGATCTTTATCTATGCCTTCAGTTTTATTGTATTTCTCTTATTAAAACCATATTTCATTTAATCATGATCCATGTTATGGGCCTTTTGAAAAAAGGCCAGTAGAACTTAAAAATATAGATATTGCTAAATCTTTATGCATTGAATTTTAGAAGTTTTTCTATATTGTTAATGTCTTTAAGTTTTTGAAGAACTAAATTTGAGGTTAATATCTGAAATTGGACAAAAACTGCTCATGCCGCAAAGGTAATGAATGCAGAGTAGTCTGACTGTCAGTGTGGATGAGATAGGGTTTGAAAGCTGTTAATTAATCACTTACTCGTTGAAGAGAATTGGGAAGTTCCCTGTAACTTCAATGGTAGTAGAGCTAGGTCAGCACTAGCAGGTTTGAAAATCATACACAAATTGTTGAAGTAAATAATAAATTATTCCTAAGTTATATTCCAACCTACAGAGGTGAGAGTTTCCAAAAGTCATGAAGGTAGCATTGGAAAAACTAAACAAAAGCATTGATGTTTTTTCAGTCTTCACATGAAAGACTTTTCATTTGACTTGCGCATTCAGAGCTGGGATTGTGCATTTTTCCTTTACTTTTTTTTTTTTTTCCCTTGAGGCGTATTTTCTTTTTGTTAGATTATCTAGAAAAACTTGTACAGTAATACCATTTTTAATGTCTGATCCTTTTGTAGTTTCCAATGGGGCCAGGGTCAGATGGACCTATGAGTGGACTGGGTGGAATGGATTCACATCATATGAATGGATCATTAGGTAATGATAGTAAATATTACGAACATTGTGAATTTTCAATGACTGGTGCCGTTTTCTATGACTAGTTCTCTAACTTATGTGGAAAACTGTGTATAAAAATTTTAAAAACTTAAAAAGATGTATATACATCAATAAGAAGAATTAAGACACTTTTTAAGCATACGAGTTGGCGTACATCATGCACCTCAGGAAGAAAAATACCGTATTTATTTATATAAGAGGGTATAGTTTTAATCCCATTGATTAAAACCAGTCTAAAAGCATACCATCACAGTAAGATAGAGGTGAAGGCTTAAGAACCATTTTTATTTACCTCTCTTCCACTTTGAAAATCATGGGAAGGTGTCATTGTGACATGCTAGTGCACGTTCTTATCAAGTACCTGGAAGTAAGGTATGTGTTAAGCTGGTTTTATCCCAACATTTTGATATCCTCATTTGTTCTATACTTAGCCATATGTCTGTTAAGTGTTGGTATTATTAATCCATCCCAGTTAGCAGCTTCAGAGAGGTGCAGATTTTAAAGCACCGAAAAGAACATGAGTTCTTGTGAGGACACACAGAGGCAGGAGGAACAGTATACTGCTTGACTTTTGACACTATGATTTTTGAAGGACTCATATCTAGGGGAGAAGCCTTGCACAACTCTGCAAAACACACATTGCTTTATCTCCTGCCTATCCTAGCAAACTCTGCTCTGGAAGAGTGATGGACACTGGAAAGGGATTTAAGAAACAAGCCACAGTTAAATAAGTTGCATTTATGCCTTCCTGTTCCATACCCACAAGGTAAATAAATACCTTGGTTTTATTTCTGCTCATACCCTAACACCAGGCCAGTAGCTCTACAGTTCTTGTGTTGTACTCTTCACTTCTGCCTGCACCAAGGGGTGTTGGTCATGCAGACAACAAGGGGGAACCTCGGGCTGCAAATATTTGAGATCCTCTTCTTCTGTCCCCCTGGTCCACCAGGAAGGTTCTGTTTTACGCCTGGGAGCTGGCTTGATGCCCACAAGGGGCACCAGCAACACCCTGCTGAGCAGTGTTTTCCTTTATGGGGAGAAACGCAAGCAAGCTGGATACAGATCAGGCAGGCAGAAGCCAAACTGCCAGTGATCTCCTTGCTTCTATCCCGAAAGAACAGCTCTGTCACCTTCCCAGCACAGGCACAGACCAACCTAAACTCAGTACGGTTTAAGTTCATACCGTGGTGGGTGATCTGTCACTTATAGCCCAAAAGTTGGAGGTTGTGAGACAGGAAGTATAAACAGGTAAGACAAAGGGAGAAGTTCAAAGAGGCTGTGACAAGATCAGAAAAAAACTAAGCCATCAAACCTCATTTAGCAGTCATGTTCTGAACAATTAAAATTCAGCAGTAGGCGTCTATCTCCTAATAGAATTATCTTTTTTTATAGGAAAGCGTGTCCCTGGAATTCCTAGATTACTTTCCATAATGACACCCTGTGATTTTACAGCCATTCTTTACATGTTACAATCCTAAAATGGATTGTTACTTTAATTAATAATGATGCACATTACATTCAAATAAATTAAAAAGTGTGTAAAAGGTAATCACGTCTTTTTCTGTCACTTTCTATAGCCTCAGAATTATTTCCTAGCTAAAAGAAAAAATTAAATTGAAACAGTTATGAAAGGATTTTACGTGTACCTAGAATTTGATTAGTTATTTTCTCTAGTGAAAGTGACGAAGTGCTTAGTCAAATCAGTGATGACTGCTTTCTAGGGGTAACTTTGTATCTAAACTGGAACCTGAGTTCTTTAAGGAGAGGAGGGCTGGGAGAGATCTCCTGTATTCATTTGCATGCTGCAATAGGCAGCTATGTCTCATAATCTGATGGATAAATTTGTCAAGGTACATCTTGAACTTCTCCAACTTCTTTGACCACAACCCTTCTATTGGATATCTCTTCATAGCTCTGATGGTTAGAAAGAAATCTTTTCTTGATTTCCATGAAAATTTATCCTTTGGGCCATGACAAAATAACTCTTTGTAACATTTATGTATCTGATATATTTGTAAGGAGAAATCATATTCCTTATCAGCCTTAATTTTCCTGGCTAAGTATAGTAAGCTTTTTCAGTCTCCTCCCACAACTCCATTTTCTTGATTGTTTTTCTCTAGTACTTCTAATTTTGTATTCAAATATTCTAGAATTTGTCTTTCCTGAAAATAGGCAACCAGAATTGTTTACTCTCTGTTGCTGCTAAAAATGCTTTTCTTGATACATCCATCCTAAAGTTGTATTTCCTTTATTCTTGACTTTACCTGAGTGAGGGCTACAGCATGTGAAAAAAATGCTTTTCGATAGTCTTGTATTCGTTATATTTCGTTTTACTTGTTTTCTGTTACTCTGGTCCTCAGGATCACCTGCTTTCTTTTGAAAGACACTGTCACCATCAGTATTTGTAATGCATCAAAAGTTGATGTCATTTGAGCCAATTTCAGTAGTAGGCTTCTGCTTCTGGAGCAAAGTCATTGATGAAAGCCTCCCAGCTGACCTTAGTGGTGATAGTGGTCTTCTTTTTCCTCAGGAATATTAACTTTTACTAGTTAGCCATGAGTTTTTTTTTTTTTTTTTTTTTCTCAAGCTGAAGCAACATTACCCATAGGTGGATAGAACCCAAATTAATTGCGTTGCCTGTACCTTGCTGTGGCTAAGAGGACAGGGAGGTTGGACATATGGATCCTTGAGTTGTGCTGGGCTGTCTCGTCCTGAAAGGATGCCATCCAAATAACTGAGACAGATCAGAAGTGTGTCCTTCATTCTTTTCTCACTTACTGCACTGGGTGTGTACACAGGGAAACGACTGATATTATTCAACACTGACTGTAAGCTTTTACTCAGATGGACATTGGAAGCAAGTGCAATGACGCATGGTTGGTTATGTTATAAAATATTGCTGTACACGATATATTTACTATGAAAAAAAAGTCCCAGATTAACTTCAGCTCAAAGCTAACTGAATAATTGTCTATTTTCGTTTAAGGCTCAGGAGACATGGACAGTATTTCGAAAGTGAGTAACAAAATATTTGGAATTTTTGGAATGTTTCACTATGAATATTTTCTTTGTCGCTGTTACAAAGGTCTTTGTTATGTATCTACATTTTCTGCTTGTTAGCTCTTTGGAGGCTGTGCAGACAGAATTAATATTAATTGCAAATTTAAAAACAGTATGACCAATAGGGAGTATAAGAGACTTATTTCTTACTGCATAATAATGTGTATTAATGAATGTGATTAATTATATCCAGATCATAATCTGATTGATCATGTTATAATCTTCCATACTGTTAAGACAAATTAATATGGTTCTAATAATCAATTAAAGTTAAATGTAAATTTGGAAAAACTTCATTAGGTTTATGCACTGTGTGATTGCTTTTGTCACCTCTGTGAGGCAATGTTAATATCTTAATCATTAGTATAAATTCCTAAAAGCTAGATTAAGTAGTCTCAGAAGCAGCACTATTTTGATATCACAACCATTAAATAATTGAAAATGAAAGTGAGTTTATCCTGCAGGGGTTTTACATGTACAAAAATGGCATTGTGCTTGAATGTGTCACTTCTTCTGTAAAAATAAAACTAGTACATATGTGTTCGTCATTAATTTTGGAATTAATTAATTTATTTGGTATTGATAAAGTGGCATAAATCTGTCCCCGGCAAAACACTATGTTTTGTACTCAGTTTCTTCAGATGTAACTGACTGAAACTAATAAATATACCACTACAACAATCTCCCTGCACTTTTGTGCTTTTTATCTATAAATACAGAAATCAATGGAGAATTGTTTCAGTTTAAATTGTATAATTAAGTCATTAATTTGTAGCAAAATTCCTGGCAATCTTGCAAGAAAGGAGTATGAGTCTGTTTTGCCAGTGTATTTTCGTTGCCCCAAGACCAAGTACCACGCTGCTGTCGCTAGCTCTTTCCCAGTGCAGACTCTTCCATTTCAGTTCTGTGTAAGGCTGGTCTGCACATGGCTCAGGTCATGCTAGAGGCCTTGCAGTAGGTCTGTTCTCCAGAGCTATGATGAGATGCCAACACGTAGGGAACAAAATGCTCACCTAAATTCCCATGGGTTAACACAGAAGTTTGTGGTGGGAATTTGTTGAGAATTCACTTCCAGGTGTTCAAAAGGCAGGAATCATTCTTCACTTAGTGATACATATTTGTATATCCAAAGAGGAAGAGGAGGACCGTGTACAATTCCCCGGTTCGTGGTCTTCTGGTGGTGCAATACAGGAGAGGGGCGGCCTGTGAAGTGTGCTTAGCATATATATTTCCTGAGGAGAGAAGGATCTCAGCAATACGTGTCCGAGGCCATTGCTGGTCATGTGAGGGAGCAGCATCTATAGCAGTCTTATATTTTTGTACATTTTTCAGATCTATAACATTTTCAGGCTCTGCCGAGTAAGATGATGGACTGAAATGACCATGTTGCCTTAGTTGTGCAGCACTTAGATGTGCAGTGATGGATTCAATAAAAGCCTCCAAGGAGATAATGAGTGTACAGCACTTTTAAAATCAATGTCCATATTTTTTGCTTCAGTATTTTTATTGCAAACTGCAGCATGTTTTAAGGAAAAAAACCCAAAACATTTCCGTTAGCTTGCCGTGGGATTATTTTCAAAGTCCTGTATTCAACTCACTGGTATTAAGTATCAGTATATATGCTAATACAAGTATCAGGAGCTCTGAAAACTTGGATCCAAAAGTTCACCTGGAAGTCTTGTAATTTGTTAACCTTAATAATAAGTCATAGAAATCATTTGATGCATGTATTTTTCAAATAACTACAAGAAAAATGCTGCTAACTTTGGAAATAACAGAGTTGTCCTGTTACACCATTGTATCTTTTTCTCAGTAGCACTGCCCAATGTGCAGCCTTCATCGATAGCAGTAAAAGGATAGCATTGGTAATTTTGGGTAGGTAGTAGTACATAATGCTTTTGAAACGAGAATGGAAAAGTTCCACTTGCAAGGAATAGCAGATTTCTGGGGTTGATGCATGCAAAATTATTATGTGTCTGCCTTCCAATCTTGTACACAGTTACCAGGATTGTTCTTGCTGAGGCAACAGTCTGCCTGCATACATCACTGGCTAGTCTTGCAGTTGGATTTTCACAAGTAGTTTTCCAGTGACGGAAGTTCTTCACTGAAGTTAACACATTTTGGGGTGCATGGTGCTGAAGTCCAGGCACGGGACTTCAGTGGAGTAACATGCATGTTAGAGGAGCAGGTTATCAGTTCCCAGGAGACGCAGAAAATTAATCCAATCTTGGTAGAATGAGTACAGCTCACAGAATTCAGAGCTACATTTTCCAGAGAAGATTTTAATTTAATTGGCTGAATGGCAAAACATGAAGTTTTTATGAAGTAGATTGAGATGGGGGAAGTAAATGAACTGAAATTATGCACATTAAATAAACATTAATAACCAGTGTTTCTTGCAGTGCCCGTGGAACTTGTGCAGGCATCAAAGACATACTTGCTTTGGAAAAACTCCGCAAGTGCTACGAGGCTAGACTCCATAGTGGCCGTAAAAGCAGCCCAGGGGAGTTGCTATAAAAGTGTTTATGTCAGGAATTTGAACCTTTGGGGCTGGTGTACTGTAGCAATTGCAGAATTTCAAAGCTTTGTGCTACACAGAGCAAGATAAAATAGGGATAGACCCCCCAGGAACGAACAAAAGTACGGGTGCATCATGTAATATAAATGTGACAAGGCCTTAGTGGGTTTTAAACTTTATATTCATAGATTTTAAGGCCAGAAGGGACTGATGATTGTGTAGTATGACCTCCTGCATAACACAGGCAACAGGACTTCCCTGAATTAATCCTTACATAAAGTACAGTGGCTGTGGTTGAACGAAAGCAATACTTTTCAACCTTTTTTAAGCTGTGGATCCCTAAATATTTGCTGTACTAACTTCCCTGAATAGCAAACTTAATTGTCGGATGTTAAATCAACTACTTAGGCTTCTAATTGTCTTTGATGGACATGTTGTACAGTCCGGAAGTATCAGAAGCAGTGAACTAGACTGCAGAAAGCAAAAGGGCTAAGGCAGGATTTTGACCCAACTCTGTAAGCTGTATTTCAGATCCTAATAAAAAAGTTATGCTTGCATGTAATTAATTTTATATTTAATCTATAACTGAAAAGAAATACACAAAGATGAGCCCATATACATGCTTGGCCATTCAGACTGAGAATGGTGATCTTCCTCAAGGGAACATGAAAACTTCACAGCAGCCTTTTGCTAACCACACAAAATACATTACAAAGTGGACAGTATGTGCAGCAGTCAGGCACACCTATTTAAGTTGTAGTATTTGCTGAAGGTGAGAACAACACTTTTTGTTCTCCTTGGAGGTGAAGTAAATCTGTGGAACAGTGTAATACATTGTAATATTTAAATTATGGACAGTGGTCAACATGGGACTTCATGATTACGAAGAGGAGCATGTAGAGTTATGGTATGAAGGGGACGTAGAACTCATAGCTATCCCATCCCATTTTCTATTCATTGAACAGTGTACATCTTTAAAGTGCCAGGGTAGGATAGATAGCCTTTGTAGTTCTGAGGAAAGTGCCAAGAAATTAAGGGGACTTTCTCTTTTTTAATGTTTCAAATTTTTCATTCAAAGTTTAACCTATTGCAGCTTTAGTTATACTAAATGAAGACTGCAAGCAGGTATTTTCAAAGTGCAAAATATCTGGGTTTTTTAAAGAAAAAATCTCTATGCTAACCGACATACTTTGTCAGGATTGTAATTTAGAATAATGGAAGAAAAAGAGGACAAATTCACTTAGGACTCTTACAGTTGTTATAATTTGGTCACTTTGATCAAGATCACTACTTGGAGTTGCATTTTGTTAGCTTGCCCATTGACTGCACTAAATTGGTGTCAAATTTATTGTGACATACCAGATTGCATTTGTGTAGGTAAAATCTCAACAACAATATTGCAGTCCGTTTTTCTGGATCAAAAAAAAAAAAAATGAAGGGAAGAACCATGATAGATGGAAACATTTCATACTGGAGTTAATGACTTCACTTCCCCCTTTTTCTGATTGTTCCTTTTTTATCACAAATCCTCGATAAGTAGGAGTCTTAACAGTGATAGAAAGAGAATTGACCATGCTCCAGGCATGGTTGGATACCACAAACCAGCTTTGTAAAAACACCTGACGAATTGTAGTGTCTACGATAATCGAGTATGAGCTGTTGACTCAGAATGATTTATGTGACAATTACCTTGTTTCACCCTTTCTTCAAGTAACTGAATCTTGAAAGCATTTTCTGAATATCGAGAGGTGGTTGTACACTTCTGTGAAAAAAAAAAGAAATTCATCTTAACAACCCTTTATGTTGTTAATATTTATTAGCATTTCAGTTACACGGAGACACTGAAAAGGTAGATTAAAACACTGTTGCTCTGTGCAAGCAAATAGCAAAAGTACAGCTCCTCCTGAAAGTGTTTGTGAGCCCAGTCCAGTGGCCAGCTGTACTGAGGAGTCTTTTATCTAAAACTCTTGTTAACTATTTTACCTTTAAACACTGTGTATTAGCTGTGCTCAGTGAGGTGGTTTATCACTTGAACGACATTTGTGAACTACTTGTGAAACTGTATTTCAATAAGCTGTGAGCACTCCGGACAAGGAACCCAGGCACAGGCCTTTGCAAAGGTCTGTGTAGACCAGATCCATCTGTATGTCTGCCTTTAAGTACAGACTCATAAGTCACCTATGTCAAGGCACACACTCAAAGACTTCACTGAATTCAACCACATGGTTTAATGTAGTGACAGAGCTACCTTGGATACCTGCTGCAGCCATTTGCAGCTTTTCATGACTTCAGTAGGAGAAGATGCTGGCTATAACCTGAAAACAAGAATTACATGTAAATAATGCTTTCTTCAGGGAAGAAAACGTTATTTACAGCTAAAATTGGTGACTGAATCCTGCAGAACCCTGCAGAGACTTATTTTGCATCTTTGAAAATGCCAGTGCATTGTACAGTGCATCTTAGTGCACTACAGCGTTCTGTAAAGCATGCCTTTGGCACATTTGGTGAAGCTGGAAGTGAACAAAATCTTCAACAATTAATCTGTATTTTAAAATCTGATTTAACAGAACTCTCCCAGTAATATGAGCATGAGTAATCAGCCTGGAACTCCCAGGGATGATGGTGAGATGGGTGGAAACTTCCTAAACCCTTTTCAGAGTGAGAGCGTAAGTATTTCTTTACCTAGCTTTTTGTTTGGGTTTTTTTGTGATTTTTTTTTTTTTACTTTGTGATCCTTTATCTCTTGTCATTTTGTGTTTTAAAAAAAGAAAAATAATAGCAAAAACAAACAGTTTTGTAGTGTACTTATATTGCAGTACTGTACCCTACATGTTTTTAACTAGCTTGTAAAATTATGGTATTGATTTGACAAAAAATTCTGCAAAAGACTGCTGGAAGTTGAGCTGAAACTGGAAAATGTGGGAGGTATAGATTTACTGCAGAAACTCTTTTTATAGATGAAGAGGTCAGTTGTCAATGAAAGTTAGATCTGTCAAGCAGTAATAATTACACTGCACATACCCACTAATGCACAACGGGCATTTGCCAGGCAATATCCAAGAAACCTAAGTATACATAGTTGAAAGATCCTTACTTCTGAGTGTTTCAATTCATGGTTGCCCAACGTTTGTCTGCTAAACAACGTGTTTTGGAGGGAATGTCTTTTAGAACAGGATTCACACTGAAGTGTATAATTAGAGCACCAGTAGATGAAGTGTTGTAAAGATGCAGTGTGCTATTAGAGCCAGAAAAAGCAAAGGTTCCCTCTAGTGTTGATTCTGGGACAAATGATGCTCTTTTAAAATGGAGAATGCTTGAGGCAGCAAAACATGGTGTAAAATGCATTGCAAAGCAAGACTACAGTATTTTCATACTCATGTGCCTGAAGCTGGGTTTCTAAATCCACATTTAAGTTCCTAAATAGGAGTGGCCTGATTTTTCAGAAGTGCTGAGTGACTTCAACACCTCTATTCTTATTGGAAATCACTGCTGCCAGAAGTGAGTGCAACTTCATTAACTATGCCAGTGGTGAACTTCAGCTCAGAAATTATGATAAGAAAACAGTTTCTGTTAGATCACAGAACAATCAAATTGCATGACAAATTTCAGGGCAATTAGATTTGGGGTTTTTTTTGGGTTTGCTTGTTTAACAGGTGAAAAGGAAGAGTTCCTGCATGTTAGTTGTTGGTGTCTTCATAAAGAGGGCACATGTTCAGCTTGGGTGGAGTATAGGAGAAAATTGGTTTGTACAACCCAAAAAGAATGATCTTTCCATATCTGGTGAAAAAACAGTAACCACAGAACCTCCATTAAATGTGATCCTTGTCATGGTCATCCTTGACTCTTAGTTTGGTATATGTTGCTTGTACTGAGGGCAGGCAGTCTGATCAGCAGGCAGACCAGTTTGCCAAACTAAGGTCATGAAAAGGACATCAGTTGTACTCAAAATAAGTTTTCTCAGACACTTACTGGATTCTAGGTGCTCCTAGATATTCTTTCCTACCAGGAGGAACCTGGGACCCAGTTTTCTCAAGGTTTTACGTGAGATGTATGCCTACAAGGCGTGCATTGTACGTGCCATGTGCATTCTAGTCTACTTGTAGGTATCGGTTCCTCTCTAACAGGAGTCACACTTTAGTCTGTGGGAACTGTCTTGCTTTCTGATTTGTATTTTGTTACTTGGCTACTTAAAATAAGCATTATTATGAAGTCCTTTCTCAGGCAAATTTGCTGTTCATTTCACCAGGAGTTTTGGTTGGGCTTGGGCAACAGTGCTTGGCTAATAATAAGTTAAAAATCACAAACACCTTCTGATCATCTTACGATTCTTTGTCCAAAGTGATTACCCAGGTACTTTGGCGCATACGGAAATCACTTGAACAGATGTTTTGCTTTAAGCATTTGAGCTGGTCTCTGACTTGGCTGAAGATAAGCATGATCTTACTAGTTTGCTGGCTCACCATGGGAGTGCTCAGCAGGACAAGATGGGAGTAAGCTTTAAAGCAGGCACACCATTAGAGACATCACAAGGGACAAAACAGAGTTTATCCAAGTAGTTCATTCTGTGTAGTTTACATGACAGGGAAGACCCATCCAAAATGCTTTTTCTAATATGCTTGGAACTTGGAAATGGCCAGCTTGAAACTAGCTTTGGCAGGATTTTTATTGCATATCTGTTTTTGCAAAGGCAAATTTATGTTTCTTCTATCAGTTTTCATAATGCTAAAACTTCTTGCATTTGAACACTTTCCTCTACATAGAAGATTTTAGGCCAAATTAAGGGTTTCTGCAGTCTGCAATTTTCAATTTAAAAACAAATTAGGCATATAAGTGTGCACTTCTAGGCATTGCTGGGACCATTGATTACTGTTATGAAGTACTGCTAACTTGAGGGCAACTGTAGCTTGTATAAGAGCTGCAGTTCGATTTGTGTTACAATAATGATGTAATGTGGTGATGGAATTTTTGATTCATGTAGAGAACAATCATTGATCCTTGATTCAGCTTGTCTCCTAAAATCAACAATACAGAATAATACAGACTAAAAGCCTAGTTTAATTCCAGTTGTACATATCTTTACTCTTTTCTTCCCATAAAGTAACAAAAAGCTCTCCAAACTATTTATGTGGTTCAGCTAATCATGAGTGCAGCTAGTCTAGTTGAGACTAGCCAACTGCCTAGCTCAATGACCCTGGTAGCTATTATTGACCAGGAAAAGGTGTGGAAAGTGTCAGTGAAATACTGGTTCATCACACTACCCAGGTAATACCAAAACAGTCTTCAAGGGAGTTGCCTTTATCAATGATAGCCGTATTTTTGCATAATGAGAGCAGCATAACAGAAGTTATGATACCACAAATGGTACTACAGCCTTAGCATCGGCTACAGTACAAAATTAGGAGGAAGCTCAAAGAGCATGTTGACATTTGAACTCATTGCTGTGGTCCAAAAGTGGTTTTAGTTAACTGAGGGGAAAAAATGGTTGTTAAAATGTGGATTCCTCTTTTTTCAGTACTCCCCTAGCATGACAATGAGTGTGTGATCCGTTAACAAGTCTCGCCGTGAAGACCACAGTGAGTTGGCCCTCTTCAGAGAGCTACTGCAGAAGAAAATTATTCGTCCCAGTGTACAGTTTTAACAAAAGGATCTCAGACACAATCTGACCCAACATTTTTTTTTCTACCATCTCCCCAGTTTTGTCAAGAAAGTGGGTCCCAAACATGATTGATACAACTGTAAAGAGTGGCATAACAGACCTGCCCAAGGTGGAACTGCAGTTACCTGTATGTGTACATCTGTGGGTTAATGTATATGTATGTGTGTGTGATATAGAAATACACACATACATATATAGACCCACAAGACATTGTAAAATACTATCCCATGACATTTTAAGTAGAAATGAGAAGTAGGGACTTTTATTCCATCTTTTTTTTTTCACGTTTACATTTTTAATTATTAAAATTTGCTTTCCCTCTCCCCTCCTGAACTGTTTTATGTTGCATATATCACTGCTTTATAAGTTATTTTTTAAGGTGAACTCAAATGATAAATTCTTTTGATTTTGTAAATGTCTGCCATTACGGATAGGAATAAAATTGCTTATAAGAGCTTTCATTAACTTGTGTTTGATACCAGTTACCCTGTGAATCACGAACTGTACTGTCTCAAGAAATAGAAGAAAGCTCATCTTAATTTTTTGGAGAAATTTAAATGATTCTCACCTAGTTTGGTGATTTTTCTTTAATACTTTGCCTTTAAAAAAAAAAAGAAGCACTGAAGGTTATTTTTCTTCTTTAATTGAAGCCTAATATCTGCAATATCTATTTTAAATGGAAGCCTGAATTTGATACAAGCTTCTCAGTTTATATAGAGTACTATAAGGTTACTGTAAGTGAGCTCTAATTGCTATAGAATCTAGCAATAAAGTGTCAGGGCTTCTCTTGCCCTTGGAAATGAGTTTTCTATTTAGCATGATCTTCCGTAGGGGTGGTAGGTAGTGGAAATACAGTAGAGCCCTTGTCACCAAAACCTTTTCTAACAATTAACTATTACGTTTCCTGTTTTCAGTGATTCTCAAACAAATTGTAACAATCCATGGTCCTAATTATAAACAGTATTTCCCACACCCATTCAGAAAATCAGATCACCCTGCTACTTGGGTGTGTATTTTTCACCACGTCTACCAGAATGAACTCCTCCAAAACGTTCCAGTAAGCAGTCTTTTTTTTCGAGCCAAAATGATGGAGTAAACTTTTTATGACTACTAACCTTGTGAGGGTCTTACCTTTTCCCGTGAACAGAAGAGGAACAAAGGTCTGGGCCATTTTATAAGAAGATCAGCCTGTTAGATATGAAAGGTGGGGACAGAATGGAGAAAAGGTATATGGTCTTAAAGGAAATGCTTCTGTAAGCAATCCCATGTCTCTTCAGTCAAAGCTCTAAAACCAAGGTTATGGTACCTTAGTTCCTAATGACTTCTAGCTCCCCCAAGAAAACAAAAGTTTGTAATGATCAACAGGTTGATGATCAGCAATGTGGGCACAAAGTGGCTGAACGAAAATTCATGCCACAGGCAAAAAGCAAAGTCCACTTCTTGGACTTCACATAAAGAAGAGCTGCTTACATAGGAGGAGCAGTTCTGAGACGTGGTATGTCCGTGAAGTCTTGCGAGGAGATTTTTTTTATGGACTTCTGATAAAGAAGCATATGTAATAGGCTCATTGTGATGGTAGCTGCACATAACGGGATGTGTGAGGAATACTACAATCTCCTAATTCATTTTTATTTACATATATATTTTTTATATATATAAAAATATATATGAAAATAAAAATATTGACACTTTTTACTCTTTTGTTAAGGCTAATCAAAGATGAAACTCTTGGAGGCTTAAAATTACATTAAAATATCAAAGATTTTGGTAGCATACTTTTTAGTGATAACAACTACTTTGATTCATTGTAAACATAAACTAGATAGTCATAATATGGTTTTGTGGACTTTATTTCCAGTGATTTTGAAGGTTAAATTCACTTGCTTATCATTGGAAAACAATTTGTTGTAGCGTCAAAAGTTGCTAGAATCCCCTACTGTTGATTTGAGCTACAAAAACACAAAATCAGATCTAATTTCCTCAGACCCTTCGCTGTTGTCACTAATACCAGTGGTTTCAGTGGCTATGTCCGCAGTGTACCCTAGGTTCTCCCATAAGCACTGCAGAGTCCAGGCGTCCTTGCAACCTGCATTTGACATCTATATTGTCCTTGGTAGCCTTCCAAGGACTTTAGGACTCTTCTCTGCCCAGTTTCAGTCAGATGATGTCACTGCTACTGGACTAAGATAGATGGTTATGTCTGGACTATGCATTAAGTGCCAAAGCCCATTTGTGCCACAGGTAAGTGCGCCCTCGAACGACCTTATAAACCATTGAATGCACCTGGGGTTTGTTCTGTATTTCCAGGGCAACCCTCTGTACGGTCCCATGCCAAGCTGGGGCTCCTGCAGTCAAGCAGTGTGTCCAGTGGCCATGCAACAGCTGCCCATGGCGGCATCACTGAGGGCTCTCTTACACGACAGAGTACGTGCTGCCACTGAAGCTTTGTACTGTGGCAAAATTAAGCAGAATCGGGGCTTAGTATTAATCAGAGACTTGATTCCTTTTTCTCTCTGAGTTTGGCATTATCTGCAATATTATAGCTTACAGGATACAGGTCTGACCATTAAATTAAACCTCTGCAAAGAATCCCCTTATATGGAACTGCCAGCACATACTGAATATATCAAAATATGTTACCCTAATTTATATACAAGAGCATAACATCCTTTCAGGCACATAATTTTTCTTCTCTAGTTCTTTCCAAACCCCTTCTATAAATTTTTTTTACTGACAGCATATCTTCCCCTTTCCAGTTCTTTTCCAACGCATTTATATCATTGAATATTGTTGCATTGATCCTGCAGCATTAATCTCAGTAAATGCATTCCTGGCTTCAAATGAACAGGATCAGGCCCTGATTCTCGTAGCCTGTCATTCTGTGCCCTGATACTGCAAGTTAATACGTATGTCTGGCAATTCTCATACCTATGTAGCCCCACAGATTGGTGGAATAAAAGATGGGCAAGCTCGCAAAATTTTAAATTTGGAAGATCTGCTGAATACTTACTGTATATCTTATTGTTAGAATTTTTATCAGATATAAGGAAACCTAATCATCTTGCTTTCTGTAGGGAATGCTTAAGTCCCTATGCTTACCTATATGAGTCAAGTTACTTATATGTGAATTGGTAAGATCAGGTGATAGAAACCATACATATGTTCTGCAGCTGAACCATTAGAAAACAATCTTATGTGCTAAATATGCAACTTTTTAAGTATCCCTTTGGAGTTTTTTTTTAAATACACATAGAGCTTTTTGCTTGTTGATTTGTTTTCTTTCCTTTGCTTATAAATCCTTGTAGGATTTTCATCATATCTAGAGTATTAATGTGGAAATAAAGACTATTTCCAAGCACTGACTTTTTACTCCCGCTTACATTTCTAATGCATTAGATACCAGTGTGTAATGTAACTGCTGTTTATGTCTGTCCTTATGCAACAGCATTATTGATAGTGTCAGAACTTGTCTAGCTCTGGGAGGAATTTTATTTTAAGTGGTGCAGGATAGTTTTTCCACACTGTTTTTTTAGATAGATTTCTCTCTTTAATACAGAAATAAATAGATGGTGATTCTGTAAATCGGTCTTTCAGGCAAGGTTAAAGTAAGGCTTTTTAAAAACAGAAGTGGTGAAATCTTAGAGTAGCAGAAATAGGGAGTAATGGATCTCTCATACCCTGGCAATATTTGGACCTTGTAGAAATCAGCTGAAATTTGGATTCATTTGTGAATTTCACAGTGAAACCAGTATTTTACCCGCTGCATAAACCTATGAAAAAGAGCATTCATACCCAGATTTTATCTCCATTTCACCCAGATTTTATCTCCATGTCTAAGACTTGTATAGGCAGGAACAGGGTTTAGGGCAAGGAAGAAGCTGTATGAATCACATGTAAAGCATGTGGCCTGACGTGCATAAAAAATATACCTGGGTATTTGCATGTATGGGTTGCATTATTTTCTTAATTGCCTGACCACAAGGAAGAACTGCAGTTGCGCTCTCTGTTCCCTGCCTCCCCTGTAGAATGAGTTCAGTGCATGTGGAAAACGTGGCAATAACCTTGAGTCTAGTCTTTGACACACTGTATGCTGCCCAGTGACAAAAATGTGCCTCAGCTTGACTTGGAGGCATCTCAGAGTGATGGTCCCCAGATCAGAGGGTCGTCCATGAGCCTGTGGCTGAGGCTGCATTTGCCATTATTTAGTTGGAAGCTGCCTGGTTGCAGAGCCCAGACCACCAATGGGTCACATAATTAGAGACAGTAGCAACTTTCAGACTTACCAGCCTTCTCCCCTTAATGCAGGATTAAATGCCCCATGTCCTGAGACATCCAGCTGTTGCTTTCACTTGCAATGGGAATACACAACAGGAAATACGTAGGCTAATTATTTATTTTAAATAATTCATATTAGGGAGAAGTGAATAAAATCTTGCTTCTTTATGGATAGCAGTTCAGGCGTCAGAAGGACACCTTCTTGAACTGGCTAAAAATTGTTTGAATTTTCCCCTGTTCTGTGGCTAGCAAATTAAATACTGCATGTAAAGATGATTTGGAATTAGGTGGGTAATTTAATGTGGGACCATCTGTTACAATATTCAGGTTTGGACATTTTATTTTTTTTTTCCCTTTACCAGTCAAAATGAATTTTTGGCTGATACATGTTGCATTAATTTCTATTTCTCATATCAGTTAATTATTTCTAAGTGTTATCTCCAAGTCAGCTCTGATTCTTTGTTGTTGTGGTTGCTAAATATGGATGGGATTCTTCAAGATTTGATCCTACACATTTGCATTTGGAGAATGTAAAATAGAGCTGAACGATGTAAAATAACAGTACAGGTAAATTTATTTTTTCTTTAGTTCACTGTAGGTGATGATACAACCGTGGCTCCTGTCCCAGGCACACTTGGGTTTGGTTGGGCCATAAAGACAGGAATCCTGACAAAGCACATCTTTCAAATAAAACCGAAAAAACTATTTAAACAGTGACAGCTCATTTCTCTTCAAACTGATCACACTAAGGATCTCATTGAGGATTTAATGATATGAAACAACTACAAAAATTCAGCACAGTCAGAGATAAATTAGTTAGATTTAAATTTTAGTGTGTGCAGCTTCCCCTACTTTGCAGACATTAGTGGCTCAGTCCTATAAGCTGCTGCTCATGCCAGTTGTCCTGCTGAAACTTGGATTAAACCACTCACATAAGGTCACTTTTTTGGTAGGATTTCACCCTGATCTGGGTGAAATACATACTTTATCTGAAGTGTGACAGTATTTGGCAATTTTGTAAACTGAGTAAACAGAGCAAAATACAGAGGGTCTGATGAAATTACCAAAATGATATTTCAACCTGAAAAACAAGAAAAAGGTTCTCATCTGAAATACTGCATCTAGTATGGATACGCAGAACAGATTTGGCTTTCTTCTGTTTCTTATTTTATTACATCATTGTTCACTACTACATGAGCTATTTTTGTGAACTTGTCCTTCCATCTTGTTTTCAGTTGTACAGCCATAGTTCCCTCAACATAGCTAACAGCTTCGCAATTTTAGTCCAAACTTCTGTTTGGTCGCTGTTCTTCACTTAAGCTTAAAATGTGTAAGAAAGCCTCTCATGTAATGGGAAAACTTGCCATAAAAATGTATAAAGTTTTCTTGGGTACCTGTTTTCACATTTAATAAAAATGCAATTTTCAGTTATAATTTGAAATGGTCACTTTCTAGCCACTATTTAA